TATATTCACCATTTCTACCTCTGTCTTCTCTACGTTCACTTGAAGTCCCGTTTTCGCTGCCCTACCTCGCCTCTTCTGCCAACTTGTTATTTTCTCCCTGCAGATCTTCGAGTTTGTGCGACAAGACATTAGACATAAATCATCATCGTTGGCCAAATTCAAATCTTCTTCTGGTGTTTTTTCATTGGTCAAACAACGTATGCCCATCTTATCACAGCTTCTCATGGTTTGCTGCATGATCCAGTCGACCACAATCAGGAAGATGATCTGCATTAGTAGATGGAAACCTTGTCTTACTCCTGTCTTCACTTCAAAGGCATCATTGAGCTTTCCATTGTGTATCACTTGGCATGCGGCGTCTTCATCTAGCTGTTGAATGAGGTTGATAAAGATCTGTGGTACTCCTTGGTGTTGAAGCAGTAGCTGTCAAATTACTTGTCGGCCGACGCTGTCAAAGGTCTTTTCAAAGTCGGTGAAGTTGAGGTGGAGAGTTGACTGACATTCTATACTCTGTCCAATGATGATGTGTAGAGTAGTGTTGCAATTTGTTCGGTACATGATTTGTTCTTCCTGACGTCAGCCAGCCGACCAGCCTATTCCGGTTGTAATTTTGAATCCAGCGCATCCTTTAGTCATTCCAGGATGATGCGGCATAATATTTTGCTTTCACTGGGTGGCCAGCAGCATGGTTTCTTGCCAGTTCTTTCAAAGGCTTAGGTCTCCCTTCTTTGGAACTTTGACAAGATAGACCTTCTTTCAATCAACCATCAGGTACCTTTCCTTCCTTCCAAACCTTCTTCAGTAGTGGTGTGAGCATGTGCAATGATTGAAATAGCATTCTGTTATGCTTCACCACAGTGCATAGGCTCCTTTATACTTTTTGTATTTAGTTATGTGACAATGATGTTAATTTTGCTACATTGAGATACCAGTGAATGATAACGAGCTAGAATTGACCAAAGTGTATCATGTAGATATGATTTTCAAGTAAAAATTAACTCACGTGTTAGTGGAAGGTATGTAATACAGATGAAGTAATTTATCCTGAACAAGTGAATTCATATGACCAGTTTAAATGCATAAAATTTGCTTGTAAGATTCCGACTTGGTAGAATTAAATGTATGGGTCCCCAAGTGTATAAATTTACACGAAATCTAGTGAAACATGTAGAAATAACTGCACGGATCCTAACACACAGCTCTCTCAGTCCAGGAATCCAGACTTCATACTCGGATGCGATAAATAAGTGGATCAAAAAAGTATGACAATAAGGTCAGTAGAAATGTATGGCAGTAGAGAAAATAAACAGATCGAAGTTACCGAAAGTCGCCTACTACAGCACTGGGTGAGGTCGGTTCGAATCTCAGAGGGGACATCAGTTCCGTCGATGTTGCAGATACACCTTGCTGACGAGTGCCAAAAAGCACGAAACCTAGGTCCAGGGCTTCCTGCCGATTGCCTCGAACCAACTAGCATCTACTAATGTGCACCGCAATGCTGAGCTTCGTAGCTTGGTTGCCACATTGCAAATATGATCGATAGGATTTCGTCTGGACTCAGGACTAGGCAACATGAAATTGGTTGCTCTCCTGTGGCCAATCAATACAGTTACTGAAAGTGTTTAGGACTTTGAAGGTGTACACATCATTATCAATTTTCAGTAATATCATCAACGGCCATCAACTACTAATTTCTGTTGTCATCAGGGTCTAAGCTAGATTGCTTATATTTACCCACAGAGTCCAGTCCAACAATAGAAGACTTTCTAGGGTAGTGTCACGTTTCATTTTCATCAATTTTAACTTCTTTTTAGTCCAACCCTGCTTTGGCTAGCATCACGCGTCGGCGTTTTCAGTGACACGTTATGCACAACACTTGTCAAACCCTTTTTATTCGATGTAGGCTCGTAGCCTCACCAAATGACTTATCTAGTACTTACTATACGCTGAACCTAAGCATTGTTCACATGTGATGCAATCACCCTGTGAAAAATGTTAAGAAGACGTCTATGATAGAAGACTGTAACTATTTCATGTATATATGAATTAGAGAGTCATGACTATAGCTATACAAAATAGCAGAGCAAGTCACTGAGCATTATATTGGTCTTCCAATAGGTGGTCAGATGTCTCTTTGACGACATAAGTGACTTAATTTGGCAAGTGTCAAAAGGGTATTCTGTGTCTGCATCGAGATTTCTTCAGAAATCAAGTGATTATTTTCTGATTTCACTTTCCAACTATCTACACCAATTTTAATTGTTGTGGTTAAACTGATAGAAAACCTAGAAACGAAATATACATCAACTGGTTGATCTGTTGAACTTCAAAATGATATTCGTCATGATCACAGTCAGCCTTATACACGATGATACATATTCAGATTATTAGCTGATGAAAATTATGAGGCATTTTTCAATGTGAAAATTCCTCCTGCACAGCGATGTGATGCTCACATTCAAATGGCTGAAAAATATCAGTGCGAAATCAAACTCTATCGTTCAATGAATTAGGCAGGTTAACACAAGGAATATATTGATCCTGAAATTTCGAAAAAAGTGAACGACGAATGATATGCATGGCTTCAAAACACAAAATTTTCCAGTCAATAGTTTTCACAATGCAGATATAATCGGTTTCAACGAAATATACTACTGAACAGCTTAAGTATTCAGGAACTCTTCAGACTGACCTGCAGATTTCGCCACCCAGATGAGAGTGATTTAAACACCACATGGTCATCTCGCTTGCTTGGTGTTGAGCTCATTAGCGGTTTACCCGGTCATATTTAGTTCACAGAGCTGAATTGGGGGTTTAAAAATGAAAGAAATGTCAAAAATTTCAAATTGATCATCCTATTTAAGAATCGGTTCCACCTACTTCTGGTTTACTTGGTCGATTTAGTTGGCTGGCAAAAGTTTATTTCTGACAACGAAAATATACTTACCCTTTTTATTCCATGAATTCAGTTGCAAGAGTAAATAGCCTCAGGATTAGCTTTCGCAATCTGTAGATTATTGGTCAACTTCACAGTTCATATACTTGAGATGAGCTTGTAGGGGTCCTAGTTGTGTTACTATTACGTAACGTTTGGCCAACCCTACTTAACTTGATGTGTTGTAGTACCAGTTTGATCAGTACCCTACTTAACGTGTAAGTACTGATAACGAAACACAAATCAAAAGAACTGGTATTCAGGAATATATTCAAAGAAGTATTATATTTAAATAGAATAAATATGAGAGTGATTATTAGGGAAACGTTTATCCGACTTATTTGGCTAGTATGGCTGAACTAGGGACTTTGAGGATACGCGTGTTAACCGGTACACAGGAAGCGCAAAATGGCATCGAAGCCTGCTTGGATGCATGCTTGTTAAAATAAAACTTAAGACGCCTTAAGCATCCAGAGGCAAGCTAGAGGTTTATTTAGTTAATTCAGTGTAATCTATTTATTTTAGCCGTAGTTGTATTTTAGTGCCTGGAAGGTCCAGTACAAGCTGATAAAAGATAACTGTATCATAGACTATTGCCAGAAAAGAGAACCAATTAGTAGTGATCAACTTCTATCTGACAATAGTTGTTTTCTCATTTTGTCTCAAGTCATGAATAAACTGAAAGTTCCAGCCAGCATCGAAAAACCCGGCGACCACCTTTTCGTCATTTGACCTAAGTGCTGTACCGCAGGTATGTAGAGACACATTTATCCTTCGAATTTACACCCATTCTTGTCAGTGGAACACTTGTGCATGAATGATGCCAGTAGATTCAGTCCTGATGTAAACGTGATTCACATGCCGGCAAGATGTAAAAATAAAAACTACCATAACTAATGTATTTTTGAGATGAGTGGAGATTTTTAATTTAGAAGTAGTATTCATCATAGACTGACATTAGTTGGGGAACCATTGAAAATCTGGGAGCACTGCATACTGCTGGGGAGTCCCATACTAGGACGAAACAGCTGTCCAGTGCTCCCAGATTTTCGATAGTTCCCCAACTAATGTCAGTCTATGATGAATACCTTGACTAATGTTTGATCAGTTTGTGCACCATCACAGTGCGTTTTGAATCGTCACAAAAATCCAAAATATTTCACTTATTCCATCATTAGAAGTATGGAATAGTAGTCGAAAATATCATGATTACGGTTTTCTCGGTTGGTAGCTGCTACTTTGGTGTTTTACTTGGCTTCTTGTATCACTCTTTTTTGGACGATCATTCCTAGGGATTCAACAGTGCCAGAAAAGTCTGTGAATTTGTAGTAGGACTATAAGTAGTTGCCGTCATAGTGTCCTGTTTCAAATGGAACCTAGGTGTTCATGGCTTATTTGACAAAACGACAGAAGCACCACATCAGCTTCAAGTATTTACTGACCAATTTAGATATCTCACAACTTTCAGGATTTCATTCCTGCTTCCTACAGTTGTGCTAATATTTTCTTCGACTAACTTTTGAGTCATTTGACTATCCACTTGTCAGATGCGAAATAAATGCTTCGTAAACTGACATCCAGAACATTCTGCCAACATTGAACACTAAAAGTTGATTTATATAGGATTGTTTAATTTAGTGATCATATAATAAACATGATATGTCATGCCTACCTAATACTAAATTACATGTTCCTGATTGCTAAAGTCTGTAGGTATTTTGATAGAGCTATTATTTTCAATATGAGTTGAAAGAAAGTCGACAGCTGTCATATTTGCCGATCAAAGTGATTCTATAGAAAGACATCTGTAAACGACTTGGATTTCTGACATTTTATCACAGTAAACTTGCATTCTAGACGAAGGTCATTAGATGATATATAATTACATGAACAGAAAGTGTATAGTGTGAAAGACAAACAGCCAAAGTATAGATGACATGACCCTTATTAAATAGGAATAGGTGGTGAGTGTTAACAAGTGCGTTAAGCCAATAGTAATTTGAGGAATTTTTTTCAAAACAAACCAATCCAAGGTGACCAGATTTGATCATAACCTTACTGTCAGGTGAATTATTTAATAACTTTAATATTCTTTTGTATATTATCAACTGATCGGTAAGTAGAAGTGTACTTTCCAATTTATACCATAGACTGATAATAATCACTTACTCTACTCACTTTTCAATGTGTATATGACAGAAATATTTGAATCTTTGGCATGAGTGAAAGTAATCTAGATTAATGACTTTCTCTGGTTATTAGAGTTTCAGCCGGACATATTGACTGAATCTAATTTCTCTCAAAATTGTGTATGTTTAACGACTTTTGTTTGAAACTGGACTAATCTAAGTATCAGATGAAGAATAGTAATAAAACGGGGTCATTGTACTATGTCAGTGGGTTCTGAAATAAGAACAGTTGAGTCATGAAGGTGAACACATCATCAGCTTGGTAATGAGGTGAAATTAAATGTTAAGTCTTACCTCGCTTTTCATTCCACAAAAGAGTATTTTTTGCACATACGTCCTGAATATGGATAAAGAAGGTAGTGAGTGTTATTTAAATCCAAATAAGCTCTGCTGAAAACCCAAAGTAATTTATTCATTCGCATCAGCTAGGCCAGTTGTCCGTCATAAATTGTCATTACTGGAGCCAAAACGGAGTATTACTGAAGTTTCTGTAATTTCATGGAACTAGTATTCCATAGATCTACGATTTGAAATTATGCACAGAATATGTACATTTTCTAAATGTTTAAAGTTATTTTGAAAAAGACGCATCCTCATGATGTAAACAAGGGTATGATTTTTGGTAGTAAGCCTCAATGATAATTATTGTGATACCTGTAATTTCCCGTTGCTATACGGAGCGGAACTGTTCAACCCAAGTGGATGCCTCGATACTGCCGATTATTCATGATGTTATACTGATCATATTGACTGGCAGAGGAATCGAGGATGAGCGTTTCGTCCTGTTTGGGACTCGTCAGATGGATGTATCTACATCCCAGTGAATGATGTTGTTTTCACTGAGGCTCCAAGCTAGTACTCTTCGCTTCAAACGGAAGAGCGTTGTCCACCAAGACTTTGAGGCATGATAGCCACATTTTGAGCAATGGGCGTCAGTTGTTGTCATGAAACTTATAATTTCGCATTGCTTTATAGAGCCGAATCGCTGATACCCGTTGCAAAATACATGGTTATCGTGCTACAGTGGCTTGGTGGACAACGCTCTGGCGTTTGAAGTGAAGGGCTATGGATTCGAGCCTTGGTAGCAACAACGTCACTCACTGGAATGCAGGCACACTCAGCTGATGTATCCCGAATAGAGCGAAACGCGCATCGTAGATTCCTCTGTTAGCCACCGAGATCAACAAAGCGATAGTGATGATCCATCAGAAGAAGCGATTTCATTGAAGTGATTTAATCAAGAACAGCTGATTTCATTTTTTTAATTCAGTATGGATTATTAAGATCAAATTAACGACATCAACTTTTCTCTAAATGCTCAACATGATTTTACACTTGATTTGACGTTAAATTTCTGGTTCCTTTCAGCGAAATGGAAATGTTTATCAGCACACTGAATGCACTTCAATGTTGAACTACTTAGATATGTGGTCTTTCAACACTGAAGACCACTTGAGAGGGCGAAAATAAATCTTTGATGTTAATAAGCGCCCGAGATTTAGATACAAACTATAATTAGCTAGTGAAACAGCTCAGTGGACGCATTTCTTATATCAACAAGGTGTCAAGAACCACGCATCTTCAGGCACATTAGTCACCTGGATTTTCCATGTATTCTAAGTTAACTTTTACTACCAAAAACAGAACGATATTGATAAACTTCCCCCTCATTAATCAAGAATTTTGAACATTGAGAATGGAATAGATCTAGCAGTTCACACTGATATTCATCTTACTAATCTGTAGATGCCAGTTAAGTACATCAGTTTGTATCTTCCACAGTTTCGATGTACCGTTTGTCGTCATTTATACTATGACTTAGAAAGGCTAAATTCAGAACATTATCCCATCAACTAATATTCTGAACTGTCTATAAAAAACTTAACACAGATAAATATGTTTTTCAGTGTCATGTTTAATTGATAATGTAAACTAAGTGAATGCAGTGACAAGTCATTATAGTCTCTTTAAAAATATTCCTGTTACCTATAAATTCACTTTACAATTAACTTAGTTTATGTACCATGGACAAAATCTGTAGATTAATCACCTCTACAACAATCATCTTTTGATAGACTGGTGCTTAGATTGCCTTCAGGTTACACGGAAGCATGCAGAGGAGGGTAACTGAGTTCGGTAGTTGTAGCCTACTCTTACAACAAGAAAATATGCAAGACAGAAAATCCTGAATTGATGATTCATTACGCTCCTGGAATATACTTTTATTTAACAGTGAAGAGAATCGATAGCAGGTAATACTGCATTAGAAGGCAAAACAACTTGGAAGTTTAAATAAGGAGTGAAATAAGCTTTCAGGTGCATTGTTTACTAGCATATGAGAATAGCCTCATTGAAATTCAAGTTTTAAGTCTTGCTATATGTGAATAACAATGAAACAAGTTGTTTAGCTTTAATGCATTAGGATACACATTTCTATCTTACTAAGTTTATTGACTAATTACAAGACAATTACAAAAACCTAAGTAGCACTACAGAAAATGATTGAATCTCTCAGAATTTGACAACTCTTGTACATACGATATAGATAAAGGAAGGATTGAAGAATTTAGTGCTAAATTTCGTATATGTTTGTTTGATTGAACCACGAATACATTAGGCAGTTAAGAATTAAAAACAATACCGCTAGCTGATTTTAGGTTATAATTCATCATGGAATGACATCATTTGGAAGAACTTCGGATAACTGGGAGAATTGGACAACCGTTTCGTCCAATGGTGTCAACCAAGTTGAGCATGAGGACAGTTACTGAACGACGACATTGGATGTAGGCCGGGCTATATGGTGAACTGACAGAAGTAGGAAATGTGGACCACTGGATTCCGACCCAGTGGCCCAATGATAACGTTTTGACCATGGAACCTGAAGGTCCCGGGTCCGATCCCTGGCAGGGTGGGGTCATGGGTGCGCACTGCTGAGGAGTCCCATACTAGGACGAGGCAGCTGTCTAGTGCTCCCAGGTTTCTAGTGTTCCTCCGACTGATGTCAGTTCATGATGAATTCCAACCTAAAATTAATAAATAAACCTCCACAAACCTCCAGATAAAATGCAGCCAGTTGCCAATACCAACCACTTCATGTCAAAAGCTTTCACGCTTTCAAACAACACAATTGTAAACCGCTGTAGGTTAAATGTAAACGTCATTTGAGTGGGTTTCAATCACTTTACTTTACTGACCTGATATACTGCTTACGCCAGGTGTATGCTCTTATGAGTTCGAATATATGAGCAATGCAAGAACAAAGACATTTGCAGAATAAAATCACCTTATTTTATTTTATGACCCCTCATCCCCTCCAAACAGTCTGCAACTGAAATGAAGTATTAGTAGTAATAATGGCATAAAACACTTTAGATTTGTGGGAATAGACGGAGGTTTAAACTGGAGGATTAACAATAAGGTAGTGAGTGAGTCGAGAAAACACAGGATTAATAATTACAAGTCATAATCAAAATCGATGGGAATTTATGCCTGATGACAGAGAAAATTCTGGAGCTGTGACTTGGTGATAGTGATGGTGAGGGGACGAAAAATAAACATCAGTGTAAAACAAGGGGTTGTTAAAGGGTTAGTAGGTTACGCAACTGTATGAAGAACTGGAGTCGATAAGTGATCAACAGTCAGTAAGTAACTAATGAAGAGATGATACTATCAAAAGAAAAGGGAAGACTATATACATACACATGCAAAAACAATTATATACAGTTACCAGGTGAATAAAGGCTAATTACAGTCACTTTCTCAGTTCATACGTCAGGTTGGAAATGTTTGATGGTGAGATCTTCCACAAACCGTAATAAACATAGTGTTATTTGGTTGTTGATTATCCCGAAGAATTGAGAAATATCTATTTGATGTCGTATTTCCACCAGGCACCTGACGATTACTTTGGTAAACACTTTGCTGCCCTTCAAACACAGATTTCTCTGAATATGCTCCCAAAATCATGTAGACACCTCTCTTTCTACCCGATCTATATACTTTCTTCTCCTAGCGCAGGTGAACTGATATACACAGTTAGAGGTGGTATGAGATGGGTGTTTGTCTGTGTTAATCACTTAATGATTCGCCAATTTTTCATGCATTTACGCAACCTGTAGGCTCTCAAACAGTCCCTTCTTTTACACTGATTTTCCTTCGTTGTCCCCCCCCCACCTCCACCACTACTACCACTCCACAGCTTCAGAATTTTCTATCCCATCAGGTATAAATTACCATTGATTTTGACTATGACTTGTAATTATTATTCCTGTGTTTCTTTGACTCACTCACTGCCTGATTATTTATCCTCGATTTCAAATCTCCATTTATTTGTACGTATTTAAAGTGTTTTATGCGATTATTGCTACTAATACTTCATTTCGATTGTAGGTTGTTTGCAGCTGAAGGAAAGTTGTGAGATGAAATGAGTTCATTTTATTCTGCAAATGTCTTTGTTCTTATTTTTGTTCAAATTTATCAAGGAAACTAAATGTATGATATTTCTTTCGTAATACTTTTCGTATTACCATGATTGTTTATCATCAAATGTAGGTTAGTTTGTAACCTGGAACATACAGTCATATTAATGTTCTAGCGCAGAGAATTTAGACCTCCTAACTATGATACAGTTTACATAATATGTCAGTTTCTGAGACTTAAAGGAGTTTAGAAAACTTAGACGGAAATAATTCAACCTGTCGAATAATTCATTAAATATTTATTGATTCAACCATAATGATTTCCAGATTTTCAATTCTTTTGAGATGATAATAAACACTTGTCTCCCCAGAGTAAATTTATATAGCGACGTTGTATATGAGTTGGTTAACGTTCAGGTCATCATCAGCCTAGATATTCTTTCACTGAATAATGGAATCAGAATAAAAGAATGAGTTTAGTAAAAGATTAATAGGGTATAGCAAAATGGTAATCAGGTATGTACTTTTTATATCTACATTTTTCTTTGGAGATTATGGGTTCATTAGTCACTAACATGACGAAATACGCCTGTTAGACTCAGGTGTGTTGTACAACGTAATAAAACTATCTATCCACTGTAAATTCAGAAGTGTTATTCCCTATAATCAGTCTTGATTAACTTCACCATCTTTCACTAGTGTTTATTATTTCAGTAGACTGAATTATTTTATGCTGACTGGTTATAGAAACCTAATACGTTTACAGATTTTAGCATAATACTTTCTAGTATTAATAAACGGTGCCTATTTAAAAGTGTAACTAACTAAAAAACTATGCATTCAGCAATTTTATGCAGATATACTTGTCACCCGTTAAGCATAGCAGCTGGGCCTTGTCATCTCTAAGGTCCAAGTAAACTTTATTTTCATGTGAATGCTACACTGAGCGATAAAACTGATGGTATTGATCATTATAAACCCAGTATTGAAGAGTAATGAATCTAACAGAACATTCATACTTTATAAAATTATGACAAATTCGTGCACAAATGGAACAGATCGGCTAGGAAAAACTGTATGAACATACTTAGTGAAACTGTTAGTCTCAATTATCGATATTTCACTTGGAAAATAGATCAAATGAAGAGTAGAGTGTGTCCACATGTAAAGCATACTATGCTTACTAGTATATTGTGCCCAAATGTGTATATGCGTGTGCGCGCGCGTGGATAGATACGACGAAGTGTATATGCACGTTCCTGAATCCAAGGTTCGCGGGAATGACCAAATGAAACTGACTATAAAGTTTGTCTTCAAACGTATCTAGTTTCTCTTATTTCTAATTTGCGATTTGCTGTTTGTCTATTCATCTATATCTCAGTCATCATTGTCATTTAGTGCTGCAAAATTGACTGATATCAATAAGCAATGATAAAAAGTTTGCATCGATTCTAGCTTACATATTTAAACAATTTATGTGGTACATTTTTCTTCTGCATGATGAAGATACTTTACTCATGCTACAGATATAAAGTGTATTAAATCAATGTATAGTTGCTTCCATGAATACTTGTCTGTTTACATAATTAATCAGTCAAGTGCTACTTGGTCATGATTTCTATGAACTCTTAGTTCTCATGAATGGATCAATGATAAAGTTGTGGGGAAATGTACAGTCTCCCGTTTTTCTCATTAGTGTCTGTTGTTCATAGATAGACAACAGCACCAATACATGAAAACTGGATCTTAAATCCACATCGATAATCAACAGTATCAATCAAGATGTCATTCATTGTAAAAACTAACTGATCTGATGTTTGTACTTAAAGGGCTGTTAATTCCCGGCAAACTTTCTGTAAAATGTGATCAAAAACACTTAAGATTGAAACCAAAGTTCTGTGATTCATGAACTAGACACTGAAACCTCTTACAGCTGTGTAAATACCCTGTAAAGCTTGTTTGTCGAAGGCCATGATGAAATATGAGACATAAAGGACAGAATTTCATTAAGATTTCTTATTATAATGAAATCTCACTGATCAGCGCATCGGATATTATTATCAAGTCTACAATAACTGATTTCTTAATACTATATGGATGATGTAAGTTGTTCAAAGAAAACTTGCAGGGGACCGTACACCTGCCTACATTTCTCACTATTGAAGACCGTGGGGTAATGAATTTCTAAAACTTCACATTCATATTCCATTCAGATTTGCATAGTCCATAAACATTCGCAAAACTTTTGTTCTTGTTAAGCATCATATATATGACGAAGCTTGAAAGATTTGAACTCCTTCAAACAATAAAACTGAGTTTTAAACGGTCAAATAGTTTTTATCGTATATTCGTTGATTTACTTGCTTTAAAAGTCGTTTTCCCCTTGCTACTAATATAGAATATTTATACTGATGGCAAAAATTGGTAAAGGTGTGCAAATTCCACTCTCATGGATTCCTCAAAACGGTGGAAAATGTCCAAAGAATGCCATTAGTGTAGATGATGGTGTTTACATTGGTCGATGTAAGTATGGAAGTGAATTTATTCCTGGGAAATTTACATCTGCAAACGGGAAATGTTACTGCTCATACGGAGGTAATGAATTTGAGTTCGTAGAATGTGAATTGTTGTGTGACACTTCAATAGACAACAATACTAAAGGGTAAGAATTCTAATCATGTTGTGTAGCCCGTTGTCATGCTACTTGTAAGGCGAGAATATCATTTGAACAGTGTAAATTTTATACTTCAATTGATATTTTATTGTTATTGTGTGGTGTCAAACATATTTATTAGACTGCAGTAATGTAGTTCTGTTAACTGAACACTATTTGAACATCGTTACCGTGTTGATTGAAGGGATGTTATTGTCAGGACAATTCAGTACATTACAGGGCAAGATACGGTAAGAGTTGATGAGAAACGCTTTAAATATGAAGAAGATTTCAAGTTTTTGGTCGAACACTTTTCTTTCCCATGTATCTAGAACTAAAATGAATCACTACATACCAAATACTGTTTAGCGAAATCTATTGGTGCATTCGATGTAGCATACACCCACAAAGAATGCCTGATTGTAGCCTCCAGTTATAAAGTGGTCCAAACTAGAAATCGATGTTTTAACATACTACAGGAATCAATTTACAGTTTTATTCACCATTTGGTAATCTATGCACGTAACAATTTAGAATGTTTATTGTTTCCCAGTCTGTAAGGACCTCACTTTTCTGCTGTACATGCTGTTCATTTCCTGGCAAATGAATATGATTTGTGTAGAATAAAATATTCTTCTTCATAAAGAAACTAATAAAGTTGGGGAACATTAGTTCACATTTAGAAATTCATATCAAATAAGAATAGGTATAAAACGATCAATAAACATTTCACTTAAATACCTATTGACCATATTACACTTCATGTCTATAGCAATTTGCTTTCACCACTGTGACTTCAGATAGAACTGAACAAGTCACATTTCAACATTTATCTTGTAAGACCTAGGTGTTTTAAAGATTAGTAAACATAAAAAAACGGGAACTTGGTTCTTAACAGGTGCATGTTGGAATGGGTGAGATAGTGTTCAAATTGTATATTTAGCTGTGACCAGTTGTAATAAGGAATCCATGGAATACTCAGATGACACAAGTCCCATCGTTATCGAATTATCAGAAGATAAAAGATACAATAACCAGATGTCGATAGTAGTAAAAGTCGTCTGGAATGCTTTCATTACTCCAGTTAAGAGCAAATTCTAATATATATTTGTGCCAAGGGGATTTGAAATATTCAGACTCTTATACCTTCTAGTATTTCATGCTTTTCTAAGTACTTTGTTCACCACTTCATAGTTTTTATTGATCACTGTTATAGATAATACGTTATCACAGTACATCATATTCTCTTGTATCCGTTAGTATTTTGTGTAGATATCTTCTAAAGAAATAGTAGGGTGCAAACTAGAAACTAAGGAAAACTGGATGTCATACCTCATGTATTCTATAGCTACTATTATCTTTCTTAAAAAATTGACTTACTTTCCTTATATTTCCTCTTAGATACGAATGGGTAAAATCCAGTGGTGGTGAATATCCAAAAAATGCAATTGTAGCTGGAATAGCGGCCGATGGGAAACCTCTTATTATTGCACGAGGATGTGTTGAAGGATACATGTGTGTTGGAAAAGTGAGCAATAAATTATCCCGACATTTCATATCTCGTTATTTGTGCATGTTAACTCATCTAATTTCAAACAAGCTAGCATCTTACTATTTATTGATATACTTGGGATTCTCCGTTGTTTAATTGGATCGAACTGTTTGATCTCCAGATGACGAGGCCCAAATAGGATGAAACGTGCATCCTAGATTCCTTTGCTTCCCACAACCAACCAAAATTCCCTTAATTATCATTCAGGTAATATTGAGGCATCTGCATAGAAGCCCATATACCAATAGAGGTCGAACAATTTGATCCCATAAAGCAACGGTGAATTACAAGTATATCAATAAATAGTAATAATCGATACCCGTTGTACAAGAAGTGGCTATCGTGCCTCCATGGGATAGTAGATAACTCATTGGCGTTTGAAGCGATAGGTACGAGGTTCGAGCACCAGTGGGAACAATATCACTCACTGAAGTGTAGGTACATCCAGCTGGCGAATCCCAAATAGGACGAAACGTGCATCCTCCATTCCTCTGCTAGCCACAGCCAACCGAACTAATATATTGTCATGATGGAATTATTAGTCAACTAGTGAACATTGTATAAGGCAAATAATGATTTTAAATTCATGATAAAAGTTGTTTCTAAACATTTAGGTGAAAGATATATCACGAGGGAATATTTGTTTCAAAAGTTAATGATACCGTCAATTCTCAAGCAGGAAACTTATGAAGTGAGACACTCCTATAAATGATAATTTTTTAAAATTTAGATCTTGATATCAGTTTGATTTATAAGACAAGGGTATGGTAAATGTTGAATACAACTCAACTGAAGAGTACTCAAATTAGTTTGAAAGTGGCTAGTATCGCTTTTAGTGAGTCTTACATTAGCTGACGATCGGCCATATCACAATCCACATGCCAATAAATTTCTACACTGTAGAACTGGTCAGTAGACTGACTAAATAATGTGATGTTCATTGGTTTTTGGACAGTTATACGGAATGACCATTTCCACAAAATGAGAATTATGACCTTCGCATTACATTTTTTGCCACCTGAGTAGAATATCAAAACCAGTGAGCTTGCTGGTTCTATTCCATGAAAGACAAAGTGTAATCTAATCACGTTCAAAATGTATATGAAAGCTAGCGAAGGTTGTCTGACTCATTTATTATTATTATTTGTTCCTTGGGTTCCTAGTGGAACATAGGGCTCCACCAGCAGGTCACCATTTCACTCTGTTCTCTGAAGTCTTTTCAACCTGGCTCCATGACTGCCCTTCCCCACATGATCTCCTTCATGTCACCCTCATCTCGGATGCCCAACTTGTCGTTCGCCCTTTGGTTTTCACTCGAGGGCCTGGTGCATGATGTCTCCGAATGGCTTTCTCAGTGTATCACCAGTCCAATCCATCTCCACTTTCTTCTGCGTATTTGCTGGGCGATGGGTTTTTGGTTGCTTCGTTCCTAGAATTCCTTGTTGCTTATTCTTCTTTTTATTCTGGCTATCTGATCTCCATCTTCAGTACCGAGTGAGCGTAGGCAGCTGTTGATGAATGTCTGTAGTTTGTTGGAAGTGCTTTTCGTAACATGCCAAGTTTCTGAATTATATAGAAGCACTGACTTGACTGAATAGGTGTTAAAAATCCGGATCTTGTTATTTGTGCTGAGTGCAGTGCAGTAGATCTCCACTGCATTGTCTAACTTATCTAAGCATAATTATTCAGTATTGCTGTAAAATGTTTAGCAGCCCACTCTACTGTTATGAGGATAAGTATCTTTTCAGGTGTACAAAACGATCGTAGATAAGAGAATCTACCAAGCTTGGTAATATATTTAATTGTCTATGAGGTGATGGAATTATAAGAACCATTGATATTTACTACATAAACAAATACTTCACCTTCAGCTGTCCAAAGAAATTCTTGTGGCTACTTGTTTACTGTTGTTTGTAATTTACGTATATAACAGAATCTCTGCATGTACACACACAGTGGCCAAAATATTTTGATTCATACAGACATTTTTAATTAACTTTTGTCTAGGTACATGATGGTCACAAGTTCGCCTATATGCCATGGGGTGGAATAGAGAATTCAGTGGCTGATTATGAAGTACTTGTATGGAAAAAGAAATAAATGTTATCTGTTTGCCAAAGAATGTTGTTTCATAACGGAAGGACTTTCTCTTGATGTTCACTTAGCCTATACACCCACTAAAAATGGATTTATTTATAAATGTTAAATATGTTACTGTAATACATATCACTTTGCATTCAGTGTTGAATAATACAAAAGTATTGTATGGGTGAGTACTATACTTCTTAGACTACTATCCAAACATATATATATATATATATATATATATATATATATATATATTTGTCGGAGTAAGTGGCTTTTGTGGTTAAGCAGTGGTTTCGTATGAAGTTGCTTACAGAGGAATTTTCAGCAACCTACTGTTCGTCAGTCCCAAGTTCTTTTTAAAACTTACACGACAGGTTACCAGATGTGCACCAGTGAATGCAAACGCACTGGCATCCAAAGCTTGCAGTTCACCCCCTACATAGAGTTAGACGACACTCGAAAAAGTTTGAAATAATTCATTTTGAAAAAATGGAGATTCTCAGCTTCAGTATTTTGCCTAATGTTACAAAAACACCACTGGAACCTGAACTCCGACCACACAAGGCAGAGTTTTAAACAACAATAGACCTGCATTAATCTCCTGACGGTCCAGTTGTGATATTTTATGTGTATCACAATCAAGAAATGAAACTAATGACCACTAGTACGACGAAATGAAGCTGAGTAGTGGTAGTAGTCGTATACTGGAATCAAATTATCATAGAGAGTAAAGGGAGACATAGTAAAGTTCTCAAGATTTAAAAGGAAGTGACGCATGAATAAATCTCAGTCGATGAAATAGGCTTATACCAAATCTTCCAAAGTTTTAAAATATCGATTTTGCAGTACTTCGAGTATGTTACAGAAAATCTTTGCTATTTCAGGTGGATGACAACAACATTCAGAAAGTACATGAGCTGACATGGTGAGCCCAGCCCATCAGGTTGAGGTTCCTTCCAGCCTACTTTTAATCCAACAGAAACTGTCAGAACACAAGAAGACATTGTAACATCCTCAGGTATTTATACGACAAATACCCGGGAAGAAGATAGGGAATCAGGGAGTGTAAATCCTGTAATGGATTTAATTATTAATAAACACCCGAGACTGTAGGTCATTACAAGCTGCGAATTCATCTAAAGTATCCAGGTGAGGAGCGTTCAGTAACTTGGATGCATCAACCACTCATCACTGTCTTTGATACACTACCAAAAACCTTCTTGTTGAGATCTCACATTTTCCTTCATAAACCAATTACTCAGTGCTCAACTTGTTTTAGTTTATTAGGTCAGATCTTTATACAGAAGTTTACACAATCGGAATTGTTACGTGTCTGCTGTAACTCAATCAGCGCTTCTAATTCCCGGCAGAAGTACGAGTAAGGATTTTCCAAGAGTTTTTTAAAACGCAAAGCTCTAGTCAATGTACGCATTACTAGGTATCAAGCTACAACGGTTCGTGCAAATCTATCTGTTAGTGAGCTACAGTTAGAAGTGAGACGGTTATACATTGTAAGATAACAGAAATTGTGTTACTTAGACCAATTCCTTTCTTGTGAACTAGAAAGATCAAACATAAGGAGCCAACAGAAATTTCTCTAGACGGGTTTACTAACGAACTTAGTGCAGTGGTTATCAATGTTACTAATTAAGACTTGACTGGAACTAAGTATGAGAGAAGTAGAATTCTCCTTATAATAACCATTTTCTTCATTACTAGTTTTTAAACAAGACTGTTGATAAGAAGTAGCGGAAGACAGAAATGATTTTTGATCTAGTTTATTTCATGTATATTCATGAAGTGCGTATCCTTATTTATTTATGTACATCCATGACCTATGCTGTCACTTCAAGTATGGTGGTTGCTCCCCAGTGCTTAAAATACTACACAATTAGAATTAGAACTATTCGAGGAAATTGTGAAGTGATAATAAAAGCATGTAGCTCAGAATGCGGATGATCAATGTAATGTCATTTTCTGAGCTTTGATATTTTGTCGTGAACGCTTTCTCATGAGGCCCGGTGACATCCTAAGCCACAGCAGTTTTGTGCACAATCTTTGTTTTTGATTTCATGAGTTATATTTTTCCCATCTTTCTTTGGCTATTACAGCATGTACTGTAGTGGTTTTGTTGGTTTGTGGGCAACTGTAATCCTGAACGGACAAAGTAATTGATTGATAGTCTACAAGACGTTCTTGACCTAGGGTAGAGTAACATGCTCATTGATGTGAAGTAGTTACTCTTTCCTTTGTCATACTGATAAACATTTTTTGATACAACTGAGTGAGTAATCGTTAGCTTTGAACACAAAGTACAGGTATTTTTTTCGCTTTCTACAGCAATTCAGGACTGCAATGTATTTTAGCTCTTGAGAATAGTTTTTGTATACAACTTGTCTTATGGTCTGTAGGATGATTGCTGATGCAGTTCACAGTTTCATAGGTATGTGTATTGCTTCCATGTACACTAAACTCTGCAAAATCCTATCGTACATTCTGCTTATGAAGGTATCTAGGAAGGGAATTTCGTTGACATCCTCCTTTTTTAAGTGAATTCCTTAGAATTTCCGGTTGGTTAGTCTGAAAGTCCTATCTGTTTCATATTACTTCTGTGAGACTAAAGATACCAGACACCATTTTGAAAGTGAACAGGTAAACTAATTTTTTTACTTCTTCTCTTCAGTGAATTCGGTTAGTTTTACTGCTACCATAAGCCTCAAATAGATTGGTCACTAAATGGTTATTTGTGTTTTGTGAACAGGAACACCTAAGATTTTCTTTTCATATTATCCTCTGATGTCTAATTTGCTTATAAAAATAGTAAACTAGTGTTCACTCAGGAATCAGTTCTGTATAGTAAAAATAAGCCGAAAACCTATAATCATGTTCAGAAAAACTTCGTATGATTTTGAGGTTTGTGTGGATTTATTGATTTCAAGTTGATACTCATCATGGACTGATAACAGTTGCAGAAACGTTGGAATAAACATAGTTAGCACCGTAACGTGTGTTCATCTTTTTTTGAATGAATATTTCTAACTCCAAACATTTCCCTTGGTATAACAAAAGATAATAGATAAGGTAGATAAGGTTTGTTGACCTTTCACACCAATAGGATGATACAATGCATTTTCACTCTTTATTCGGAAAGCAGAACATCAGGTACATACTAGCTGTCAGCCTCAAAAGAGAATTTCAAAGTTATGCGTTTGAGAACAAGATGAGAGGAATCAGAAATAACCCAAGACTAAGAATATGATCGTGGGTGGATATTATGATCGAAAATGTTCTGAACGTAATTCGCAGATATACTCAGGTCAAAAACACCGTTTATATTAATCCTTTGTACATAAAGGTACCACTACTACATAATATTTGACCAATTCGATACGGCTAAACTCAGGAACGAAGATTCCTTCAACTACTGTAAAAGGTAACTTAATAAATGTATAAACTCCTCTGTCTAGTGTAAATCATAAGAACTAATTATATGTCCAAATCAGAGTGGGCTAATAATCGTAACTTGTTCTGTGATGTGAACAGCTTGGATGAAGTGATGTATGAAAGACAAAGTTTGTATTATTGAAAAAAATAAACCAGTTTTAAGTTATTGCTAGATTGCATTTTAGTTCGTTTATTACATGCATCACACAATGAAAGAATGTTATTTATAGGATGTCTTTTTAGACACACACAACTTTGAGACATGCTTTATGCAGTTCAACTTTCACTCTTTTTAAATAATAAGGGTAGTAGAACATATGGAACAGATTTTCAGTCATTCCTATTGGATGCATTTGGTGTTAACTCCATAAACATAGATTCAATAACCGGTCTTTCACTTTTTCCACTTAAATAGGTTAGTTTCCAATACTGTCTCTCTATTCCATCCTATTGTGCGGTTGTGCGTATTCTCATGCATAGTTGTAGCCGAGCTTTTCCTCATCTTATAAGAGTCTCCCGATCTTAAGTTAGCTAGGATTTTGTGCTCGAACAGCCTAATTTACTCTCATTGACTACTTTGACCGGTGTATTTGACCTCGAAAAAACTGTAAGAGAATTGGTAAACTGAACTCTATTGTCTAATTGGATGAGTAGGATCTTCTGGTCTACAAAACTTGTTTGCAAGTGAGTTATTCAGTTTAAATACTACTCTAATTGCCGTCTTATATTGAAATCTTAGTATGGCTTCTGAGATGTCTTCCTTGTATGACAGCAGCAAATAGATTTTAAATTCTGCGTTCATTTTCATCTTTATTATTATTATTACTATTATTATCGTCTTCATCATCATTATGAGCTCCTGTGTTACCACAATTACTCTTTCCTTTTCTACCATTTCGTATGAAATTATGTATTAATTTACGTAGGTAATTATTGAGACGTAAGATTTCCTTAGTTTCCGCCAAAAGCACTGAGAGCAGACGCAGAGACAACAACGGATATACTCACACCACTTTCATCACAGAAGGTCTGGAAGGAAGGGAAGGTATCTGGCGATTGGAAGAAGGGTTACCTTGCAAAACCCCAGAAAAAAAGCGACCTAAGTCTTCGCAAGAACTGGCGCGGAATCACTCCCCAGTCCACCCAAAACAAGCAAAATATTAAGCCGCATCATCCTGGAGAGACTAAAGGATGCGCTGGATTCAAAACTGCGACCAAAACAGGCTGGTTGGCTGGATTCAGGAAGAACAGATCATGTGCGGACCAAATTGCAACGCTTCGGATCATCATACAACAGAGTATAGAATGGCAGTCAACTATACACCTCAACTTTATCGACTATGAAAAGGCCTTTGACAGCGTTGACCGAGAAATAATTTGGCAGTTGCCTCAACACTACTGAATACCACAAACCTTTATCCGCCTCATTCAACAACTATATGAAGATGCCACATGCCAAGTAATTCACAATGGGAAGCTCAGTGATGCCTTTGAAGTGAAGACGGGAGTAAAAAAGGCTGCCTACTATCACCCATGATATTCCCGATTGTGGTCGACTGGATCATGCAACAAACAGAGAGGAGCGAGAAGAGAGGGATAAGCTGGACCACGGAAAAGAACCCAGAAGACTTGGATTTCGCCAGTGATGACTTGTGTCTGATGTTGCACAAACTGGAAGATCTGCAGGTGAAAACTAACAAGTTGTCAGCAGAGGCAGCGAAGACGGGACTTCAAGTGAAT